ACAACAATGAGACCGGCCCCCTTTCCAGGGCACTGCCCACCCTCCCACCTACCCGACCGATTCCGCCTGCCAGGTTCTGATACCCAGCCTCCCCTCTTGTGGGATCCAGCTGGAGGTTCTCTGGGTGACTCTGGCTGCAGGTTGGTGGCAGAGCCCTGCTGGCCAGGGCACAGGATGCTGGGCCTCTTACTGAGCCTTGTCTGCCAGCCCTGACCTTGGACTCCTGACGGAGCACTGGGCATAGTGTCAGGGTGAAAGAGGAAGGATCAGGGCATGTTTTTGATGCAGCATCTTGAAGCCCATGAGGCAAACTCTGGGTGGTTGTGACAAAGAGATTTATAGGAACTAACCAACCTCTGACCTGGGAGCCCCTTCTCCACTGCAAAGGATGCGGTTCAATCCAGTATAGCATATACTTATTGCAAACCCAATACTCGTCACTGTGTGAGACACTGGGGGATACGAAGATGAATAGAGAAAATTCCAATCCCTCAATGAGCTCACGATCTGCCACACGACTAACCATGTCACCCATTGGACAGTGTTAAATCCCCCTGTATTTTAGGACTCTGGGTGCACAGAAAAGGGTAATTTGGAGAACTGGAGAAGGCTTTTCAGAGGAGAGGGACATATGAGTTGGGCTTCAAAAGGTCAATAGGAGCTCATCAGGAAGGGAAATGGAGAAGAGCATTTCATACAAGGAATAGTATGGGATGTGAAATTACGTGGCCGGACAGGATGGAGTAAAAGCTTCCTGCAGCCACAACCTGGGGAGTGGGAAGGGATGTGGCTGGAAAAGTAGGCTGAGGCCAGATGGAGAATGGGGTTTAAATTCCAGGCCAAAGAGTATGGATTTTCTTCTGTAGGTAATGGGGAGCTATTGAATGGTTTTGAGCTGAGGCATGACATGATCAGGGTCTCCCACCCTTCTAAGAAGAATTTTAACTTCCCACAGGCGGGCAAAAGGTATTCTGCTTTTTCTGCCTCTGCCTTCCCCCACGGCTGCACCCAGCCATCCCTTTCTCCAGCTCCCCCTCACTGCCCTTGCTCCTTTTGTTCCAAACCTCTAATTCCTTGTTCCAAGCAGGCTGACAAAGTTGGGGACTTCACCTCCCTCAGCCCTCACCCCAACCCAGCGTGTCCCCAATACCTTGCCGGGTTCTTCCACCCCCACCTCATACCAGGGCCAGTGGGGAGGACAAGGAGGGGATGGCGAGGAAGCTGTGTTTGATTTCTGCATGGATCTTTGGCTCTCAAGGTTCCTGTGTGTCTGTCTTCCCACCTGAGCCAGGCTCCTGCCTTCATTGCTGCCCTCCCCAACTGAGGAGCTTCTGGAAGCTTGGAGTCCAGGGAGACATTTCTCTAAATCACTCAGCCATAGCTTATCCACCCCCTTCTCAAAGAAAGGCACTGGGCTGAGGACTGTGTGTCATGGAAAGAACATAGTCCTTGCCCTCAAGGAGCCTACCAGCCAGTAGGGAAGATAAGAAGACAAACCCATGGGAACAGAGCATGAAGTGATAAGCTCTAAGGAAGTCCCAAGAGGAGCAAGCCAGTGATGTGCCGATAAGAGAAGACTACATAGGGCTGGTCGGTTAGCTCACCTGGTTAGAGCACAGCCTTGGCCCAGCCTTGCAACATTGCAACACCAAGGTCAAGGGTTCAGATCCCATACCGGCCAGCCGTCACCTACCCCTCCCTTCCAAAAAAGAAAGAGAAAACTCCCTTTGAGCTAGGAGCCAGAATGACCATGTGTTTTCCTGAGGCAGGGATGGGGTGGCAGGGGTGGAAATGGTTTGAGCAAAAGCAGGAAGGCTGGCATGTTTGGTGAACATAAGCTCTGTTGGGCTGGGCTACAGAGTTTGTCCGAGGACCAACGAAAGTGAAGTCTGCAAAGGTAAAGGAGACCAAGTGCGAAGGTCTTGGATGTCAAGTCAGCATGGGGGAGCTGCTGGCTGTGCTGGAGATGAAGTGGCCTTCTAGGGTGACTAATCTGTCAGTGATCTGCTGGCCAGCTTAGGTGGGTAGGCACAGAAGTGGCAGAAAGCCTATAAGAGACCTAAAAAATAACCCAGACGAGACGTAATTCCTGTCGGCAAGTTAGCACTTCCCTAGAATTTTCACAGACCAGTGCTCATCTCTACTTCATTCATTCATTCATTCATTCATTCATTCACTCGACCAATATTTGTTAAACATTTTTACTAAGCACCAGGCACTGTTTTAGTCTCTTTCTTCATTCTCTTTTCTCTCTCTGACTCTAGGATGAGAAGACAAAGGTGGGGCCGGCCCGTGGCTCACTCGGGAGAGTGCGGTGCTGATAACACCAAGTCAAGGGTTAAGATCCCCTTACCGGTCATCTTTAAAAAAAAAAAAAAAGAAGACAAAGGTGAAACTCCCATTCACACACGTCTGGGGGACGTTAGCCCAGCCTTCCTCTCCCCACCCAAGCTAACCCAAGCTACAGGCAGTAGCTACTGCCTTTGGAGCAAGTGTGTGGAGAAACATTAGAGAACTGCATGCAGTAGGGATTTGGGGGATAGTGCAAGGCAGGAAAGTTTGGGGTGGGAGGGAGAGCAGCGTGGGCAGCAGAGAGCAGTTGGTGGGCGGGGAAAGGAAAGCTGACAGCTGAGTGTGGGGAGACCTGGGATCTTTGGGGGACGGGGGCTGGGCAAGGAGGGGAAAGATGAGGGAAGAAGAGTAGGAGACAGGCCTCTGAGGATGGGGGCTGGAGGGAGGGAGGGAGGGAAAAATTAGAGAGCTGGAGAAGGAAGTAGAGTCTTAGCAGCTGGGGGTGGGGGGCAAGGAGGTGGGGGACTGGGAGGCGAGGGCAGAGGAAATGGGCCCAGGCACTGGAGACAAAAGTCTGGGAGTCTGAGCCGCTGAGGAGCCACCTGGAAAGTGCAGGCAGCGGCAACATCAAACCTGAGATCCCAGGGTTGGCTCTGGGAGTGAGCTGGAGTTGGGGGTGGGGTGGTGGAGGTGGCTCCAGGGGGAGCTGAGAACAAGAGAGGGGGCCCGAATCTACCATTAACCCTTCTGGATCTTCAGCTTCCTCTAGCCCCTCCCCCTTCTTCCTCTGAAGGCCAGAAACCAGGACTCCAGAGTCCCACCGCCCAGTCTGCAGCTATAGGCCCCACTGTGCCCACCCCTGGCTTTCCTACAGCACCTCTCCCGCCCATCATCAGTTGGTGGGAAAGCACATTGTTCAGAGGTGCGGATGAAGGGGGCAAGGGGGGTTCCTGCCAAGTAGGGTCCTGGTTGTGTTCATTGCTCCCCTCCCCACAAACCAGCCAGGGTCTCCATACACCCTTACCGATCCAAAGGTGTGTGGGCCCACAGGTCCAGGGCAAGGGCTGGGTCCTTTTCCTCTCCCAGACTCCCCCCACCCCAAGAGTCTCCCATCTTTTGGACTCGACCTGCTACCTAAGCATATGGAACCGATTGAAAGAATTTGTATGCTCACCTTATAATTTATGCAAATCAACTCTGTAATTAACTATAATTTGGAGGCATCCTTTGGTATTTGAGACATTTATCCATGAGGAAATGCCCTGGTGATAATGCTCCCGTATTAACATTATTTACTCCACCTGTGTGGTCTCTGCAGCTTGCCCCCCCCCCCTTTCTGATTTTCTGAGCTGGAAGGTGGGGAGGGACAGGGAAGCCCCTCCCTGGAGTCTGCCTCAGTCCTGACGCCTGGGTTCCCCCAGGGAGTTGTGCCGGCCCTGTCCTCCCAATTTTCCCTAGGATAGAAGGAGGGAGTGCAGCTCTGCCTCCTGAGTCCCCCACCACTGTATTCTCCTCTGCTTGATGGGTGGCTTTCTGCTGAGCTTCTACCTCTTAAGAGCCTCAATGTTCTCATCTCTGAAATGGGGAGAGGAAGGACCTGTCAGGACCTTTACAGGATAATTACTGAAAAGTTAATGAAGGGACCGGGAATCCCCAGTCTAGAGATTGCTTTGGGTGCAGAGGAGAAGAGTTTGGGGTGAAGAGTCCCTAGCTCGCCCTGTGGGAGGGAGGGAGTATGCAAGCCTTGGGGTGCTGGTTTCCATGTGTGTGTGGAGAGGGGGTGAACAGCTCCTGTCCTTAGTACCAAGGGCATTGGGCTATGGCAGGAAATGGGATGGGATCCTGTGAAAAGTCCCCAGGCCACTCTCCTATATGGGTCAGAACTCCCAGCTGCAGAGAGTGTTGGGAAACCAGTCTCACTCTGTTCCCTCTCCTTTCTCCTTCCAGCCCTTCTGTCCCTCTCCGGAAGGACATGCTCCTGTTGCCAATATGCCTAAAGTTACAACCACCTTAGAATTAGGCTCATGTAAATACTGTAGTTGGGGACATAGGGGCTCCCCCTAAATCCACCTCCAGGCCTCCTCTCCCTTTTCCAGGCCACCTTCCCAGCCCCTTCACTCTCCTGGAGTTCCAGGAGTCCTGAGCTGTCCATAAAAGTTCTCAGCTGGGCGCTGCCTCTGGTCTTAAGTGGTCTCTTGTCCATCCCACGCTGCCCCACCCCATCCTGAGTCAAGGAGATGATCTCCCTCCCCATTTGACAATGAGAGATCCCAGGTCCAGAAGATGGATGACACTGGATCCTCCTGGGGGATCCAAGTTGGGAAGTGGGCATCTGAACAGGGGATGGAAAGGGAGAGGGAGGGACGAAGTTCTAGCAGGTGCAAGAGACCCACTGGAGTGACCAACAATCCTGACACAGAGCTCTGCAGGGAAGGACTGGCTTGGAGCTTGGGCTGTGTGTGTGTGTGTGTGTACACGCACGTGTATTTCAAGGAAACCTCAAAAGGATGGGGGTGGAATTTGGAGATTTCCAGTTGTTCCAGCTCTCTCCCCTAGCAATGCTCTCATTTCCTCCATCCCACAAGAACTGCTTTGTCCCTCTCCCACTGCCCATCCAACTCTGGGGAAGGAAGGAAGTCCTGATCCCCCACCCCCCACCCCCAGCTGCCTCTTACAGCTGAAATCCTCCTTTCCTGGCAGAACTCAGAGACTCAGATCTCACCCCCTACCACTCCCCCAGGAGAGCCGGGGCCACTGTTTCCTGGATTATCCTAAAAGCTTCCGAGGCCGTGAGGACTTGGCAGCATCCCTGCCCGCATCTCTCGCCTCCCCCTTTGGCTCTGACAGTCACCTCCTTTATAAAGCCTGGCTCTTTTATCACCACCACTTGCCCCTCACTGCCGCTGCCAGCTCTGGGCTCCATGGACTGGTAAGAGAGGCTGTTCCCTGTCCAGTACAGGGGACCTCCACAAAGAGGATCAGGTCTCCACTCTAAAGTGGGGATCACAGAGAAGGCTTGATTCTTCCTAAATCGGGGAGGGGGAGATAAGAGGGAGATCTTGGTGGGGTCTGCATGGAGAACTGAAGAGTTCTCTTGGATGTGACCGAGCTGGGCAGAATCTGGGAGAGAAGTGGGGTAGGAACCCAGGACTGGGGACCTTATTCCGACAGAAAGGATGGGAAAATATTAATAGGCATATAGGACACATACACTCACCACACAAATTCGAGGATGACAGAACAGCTGCAGAGGTGGTGAGGGAGAAACCTTACCTGTCCTGCGGGGAACTCCCTCTCTGATGGAGGAGAGAGGACAGATTCCCTACACTCAAGTCCGCAGGTACACACAGGCATCGTGTGTGCCATGGGCATGAGGTGCACAAACATTTGTAGATATATCCACGCACACCAGCATACAGATGCACTGCCCGCAGCCGTGTCCATCTTCTTCACTGAAAAAGAGTGGTGGATGCTAACGACATTTGGATTTATACTAGGATTAGTGTCTAGCCTAGTGCTTGGCCCTAGCTAAACTTTCAATAAGTGTTGTATGAATAGAAGAAAATTATTTGACCCTAGCTCTGGACTCTGCCCAGTTTTCCAGGAACCTGGGAGAGTGGGTGGGGAGAAAAGGGTTAAGGAGGAATGTGTTGGTGTTCAGAGTCACCAGCTCGCAGCCCGCAGCCGTGGAAGTGTAGCTTGGATGTGAGAATTGGGAGTACAGGAGAGAATGAGCAACTAGGAAACCAGGAATTAGGAGACTGGGGTCTGGTCCCTGCTCTGCTTCTAACCTGCTGTGTGACTTCGAGCTACTCACCTCCCTGTTCTAGGGTTCAGTTTCAGTTTTACTGCCAGGATAATGAGGGCTTGGAGTAGGCCATTTTTACAGGCAGACCAGCTTTGATATTCTCATAGTGCAATCTCTACAGGAGAGTTGAGGTTTGAAAGGGACCATTGATGTAGAGTGTGACTTGTCCCAGAAATTCAAGATGGGATCAGTTTGTCCTACTGAACTTAGGATGGAGGGATCAATTTAAGAATGTTGTCCTCTCTTCCTTTAGGATCTAGGGGAGCCAGATTCCCAGGGCCATCACTTCTGCCATAGTGAGGCCAGATGGAAGAGCAGGCAGAACACGGGCTTTGGAGCCTGACAGACCTGGACTCAGTGTCTTCCTCTGTCTCTTAACAGCTCTGTAATCTCTCTCTCTCTCTCTTTTTCTTTCTTTCTTTTTTTTTCGTTTTCACAGCTCTGTAATCTTGGGCAGGTCATTTAACTTCTTTGATCCTTGGCTTCCTCATCTGTACAATGGAAATAATAATAATTACTTTGCTGCCTGCTCATGAGAATTAGAGATATTTGTGTAAAGTGCCTGGAACATAGTAGGTGCTCAATAAATAAATGCTGGTTATGATGAATGTGCAGACTAATGAAGCTGCTCCACATACAAAAAGGATTGCTGAGGCCGGCCCATGGCTCACTCGGTAGAGTGCGGTGCTGATAACACCAAGGCCACGGGTTCGGATCCTATATAGGGATGGCTGGTTTGCTCACTGGCTGAGCGTGGTGCTGACAACACCAAGCCAAGGGTTGAGATCCCCTTACCGGTCATCTTTAAAAAAAAAAAAAAAAAGACAAAAGGATTGCTGACTATAAATGAGGCTAGAGAAGGAAAGGGATGGCAGGAATAGGAAGTGGAAACTTGTGATGGAAATCTATTTACCCCGTCGAGAAAATAAGGGAGAGGAGCAGAAATGGCCCTGGGGAAGATTTTAATTTGTGTAGGAGACACAGTGGGCAGAGTTGTTAAATTCTGAATTGAGATAAGAATATGGGCAATGGGCTGTGGCGACTTTGGTGGTCACATCAACATCAGACCATGGCCATCATGTGGTAGAAGAACATCTGGCAAGTAGGAAACTGAAAAGGTTGGAAGCTGAGGAACTAAAGTAGAAGAGGACTGGAAGCAAAATAGTGACAGTACCCTGCGTCAGAAGCACAAATCTAGACAGGGCAGGAAATCAGAATAGCTGAGTTTCCAGAAACAACTTCCTTATTGTTGGATTTCATGTTGATGAGCCACAGGCAGATGGAGGGTCTTTGCTTCTGGGAACCCCACGTGGCTGCAGGTCTGGTCAGGGCTGGGTAGGATTAAAGGGGGCTTAGGGTGAAAGTGGGGGGGGTGTGTCTGCATCCTTGGGCTGGATTACGGAAGGGGCTGGGAAATCGTCACCTATAAGAAAATCTGGCACCTATAACTTATTGTTGGATTTCATGTTGATGAGCCACAGGCAGATGGAGGGTCTTTGCTTCTGGGAACCCCACGTGGCTGCAGGTCTGGTCAGGGCTGGGTAGGATTAAAGGGGGCTTAGGGTGAAAGTGGGGGGGGGGTGTCTGCATCCTTGGGCTGGATTCTCTTTCCCGGTTGCTTTCCAGGTGAATACGGAAGGGGCTGGGAAATCGTCACCTATAAGAAAATCTGGCACCTATAAGGCAGGAGAGGGGACTTGGTACCCCCACCTGGAGTCAGACCCCTGCGTAGGCATTAGCACCTTAAGAGCAGTAGACGTGGCAACAGCCGGTGGCGGGAGGAGGAGGTAGGAAGGTTGAGGGGTCGAATCCGTCTTCACACGTGAACCAGAGTCACCCCAGTCAGGTCAAAGGGCTCTGTTCCAGACATGATGAGCCCCCTAACTCCCTCCTGGGCGTGGCTGTAAACTGGGGTGCACACCCAACTAGCCAGGATTTGCAGGCTGAGTAAACGTAGGTAAAACCGCGTGGATAAAGAGGGTTGTCAGTAAACTGGGGTGCACACCCAACTAGCCAGGATTTGCAGGCTGAGTAAACGTAGGTAAAACCAACCGCGTGGATAAAGAGGGTTGTCAATTTTGCAATGGCCAAAAAGATCCAGAGCAGTTCTTGTGAATCTACATCTCAAGATCCCAAATGCTGGGAAGAAGAAAATCTTGATTTATCAGAAATCTCAATCCCGGATATCCAGGAGACCTCTTTGGGCTTCCAAACGCCTATCTTTCACCCAGCAGAGCAGGTGTTTTTACCGCCTTTCGCTGAAGAAGAAACTGCGGCTGAGCAACCTGGCCCTCCCGGGTCAGTTTAGCAAGTGCAGGTCTGGCGCTAGAATTTAAGCCCGTCTATTTCTAGTCCAAAGATCTTCGTGAACATACCTTAATCCAACAAACATTTGCTGGGAGCCAATTCATTCAATAATTATAGCAAGGATATCTTCCATTCACCTGTGCTTACCAGGGGCCCCACAGGCTAAATATTTTAGGTACATCAATTCCTTTAAGCCCCAGGAAACCCTTCCAACTCCTACCCAGGTTGTCCAGATGAGGGAACTGAGCTTTAGAAAAGAAAAAGATGCACACGTGAATCAGACATCGACTCTGGATAAGAACACGCATGTTTGGGGGAACCACATGCACGCATGCAGGGACTGATTTTCACGTGGCTCCTGGACTCAGTTTAGCTAATTTATGGTCACACTTCGAGTGTGTCCCAAACCGGAATGCAGGACAGGTAAACCAATGGGGGTGGAATGGGGCTGAAAGGCAAGATTAAATCAACCTAAATTCCAGCCTGGCTGTATGAAATCGACTGTAAAGACAAAAACGAAATTTTAAAAAGCCAGTGGCAAAGCGCATAGGGGAAGCCGAGCCGTGCAAGGAAAGAAGTACAGAAACCGATCACCCTGAGGGTCAACGCAGCGGGCATGTGAGCCACCAACCGGGAACTGAGCGCCGCGCTACCTCTGCGCACCCACCAGCCAGGCGGGAAAAGGGGGGCACTCTTCTGTCCACAAGCGTTTAGTGGGTTTGGGGGAACTCCACCGATCCGGATCTTGGGAGAACTTCTTACACGAGCGCCACGAATGCCCTGAAACTTCACCAGAATGTTGTGTTGTGTATGTGCATTTGTTTTTTCAAGGGGATACAAGACCCTTCCCCAAAGTTATGAACCTTGGGTTTAGATATTCAGGTGGGAATCAGGAAGGAGTGGTGGCAAGGGGTTGCTCGATTCTTTCTAGAAATGTCCCTTCCCAGGGCCGTTCAGACGCCTGCCCAACCTTCAGAACCGGGTGCACCAGGGCGAGAGGGTGAGGGTGCCGTGCGTAGGCTGAGCACCTTCGGGACCGAGAGGAAAGGCTGGAGGGAGGCGCGTTTGAGAGGTGGACTTAGGAGGCGCTGGGGTTGTTGCCCAAAGGGAGGTGGCGAGTGAGAGCCAAGGGGGCCTGGGAGACACGTGGGGGCAGGCAGAGGCTGCGACGTGGGGTGGCGGGTGGGGGACGGGGCCGGAGAAGGAGGTGGTCGCCCAGAAGGGGAAGTAGCCAGAGAGCGAGAAGCGGAAAGCAAGAAGGAAAAGGACAGGGGAGGGTGGCGGTGGAGAGCAGCGGCGGGGCACGGTGACGGTGGGCCGCCAAGGCAAATTTCTCTCGGCCTGGGCCCGGGAGTAAGTGGATCGGACACATACTTGGCGCCCCATCCTGTCCCCTCTCAGTTCCGGGGTATCGCTGCCCAGCCTGGGCGGGAGGGTCAAGGGCTGTCGAGGCCACCGGCGCCCTGAGGGTAGCTCCTCATCGTCCCCAGGACCCACCCCCTCCCCCCCTGCCCCCAGGATCGGAGTCCTGCGTCCCCCGCCAGACCGAGCCAGCTCCAGGGCAGTTTTGCACCC